AATGAACATGTTGCCCTTTTTCTTGGGAATAATATTCTATTGCAACAGCCAAGATATGAATACTAAATTTCCTTAGATGCTATGTTAATGACTAACTTATAAACCTTTGAAAATAAAGTATTCGCCAGCAAAATAACAATATACTTACTGTTATATTAGTGTGAACAGTATCACTGAAACACAAACTATGACTTTAAGTCCACTTGCTTCAAAACAAAGCAGAGGGTATTAAAGAGGTATTAGTAGCCAATACTTGTATGATGAAATACTGGATGCCACCATGGGCAAGAGATGAGGTACCAAATCTCAGTCATCCATTACTCTAAAGTACAGCAGCAAAGTGAATCAGTACTGAGTGTTCGTGGTTAATCAATACCAACAGAGTAACTGTAGTGACCTGTAGTGAACAAGTGTGAGAAGGAAGAAGCAGCAGAGAGGACCTGTTGTGGGCTGACCACTACCTCTGTCCCTTGAGAAGTTGGAAATGAAGCAGTGAAGGAGTTTTCCTATTAGCATGTTCTTGACAGGACACAGATAGACTTAAAACAGTTTTGAAAACTTTTCATATTTATTACTAAGTGTCACAATCATAAGAATGAGAAAAAAGGGCTGAGGAGAAGTACTTTTATCTTTCTGGTTTTGTTTCTCACAATTCAACTCTATCTAAAACGGCAATAAAATATTTTCTCCTAAGTTGAGTCTGTTTTGTCCATGATGATAATTGGTGAGTGATCTCCCTGTTCTTATCTTTAGTCATGAGCTTTTCCATCTTAAGTTCTCCCAAAGGTCTGCTAAGAAAGAGGGCTGCAAGAGTGACTGGGTGTCACTGCCAGCCAAGGTCATCCCACCAAAACTTCCTTTATGGGCTTTACCAGTTTTAAATGACTGTCTGTACTTTAGTGGCTACACATGGGTAGATATTGGAATCTATTATGAAGGGCTATGTCTCCAGATTTCAGAGATTTTTTTAATTAATGGTTTAATTATTGATATGCTTTTTATGACAAGAATATAATCAGAAAGGAGTGAGAATGCTACTAGGCTACCAGAATTTGTCAAGGCCCCAAAGTAGGAGAAATGAGATTAAGTGCAGATACACATTTATTCCCCTTAATTATTGTTGCCATGTTTTCTGTGAATATTGATTTTTGCAATGTAGAAGAGACTTATTCCATTATATGTATTGGATGGTAGCTCTACTAAAAAAGAAAACAGAGTAAATGTTTTTATATTAGGATGTGATATAGGAATTCAAATAGTTTTGAAAACTTCTCATATATGTCATTAAGTCTACTAAAATACTAGTTACAAAACTCCTACTTATACATTTGTTGACATATCAGTGAGAAGTTTTGATATTTCAAGATTATAAGACTAAGAAAAGAAGTAAAAAAATGTGTTGCATACATTTGCTGGGAACTATAAGGCATTCAGCTGGACCTTGACATAGAGGTAAAAGTATGTCTTCGGTGTAAGGTTTGTGCCCTGTGGTGAGTCTGCTGAAGCTGGATGGAATTGGCCAGAACTTGCTCTGTAGGGCACATGAGAGACTCAGCTTCTCCTCACAGAGGCCACTCTGCAGCCCTACAGTGCCACTACCAAAACTTACACACATACATCCTAAACTGAAGCAAAAAAGCTAAGACGATAACATTTCCTTTGATCTCACTCTAAATAACAAAAGAAAATAAAAAAAAACCCCAGAGTATTCAACCCCCTTTCTCACAACCCTTCTATCAACAAGTACACTGTCTGTACAATATTTCCACATGTAGTAAGGATTCAAAACAAAAAAAGGACTTTAAGCCTATTTGGAACTACCTCTTAGCCTAAACCCGGAAGTTTTTTACATTTTTCCCAGCTTGCTTTGCTTTCAGGTATTTATTCCATCTTAACTTTACTCCTTCCATGTCTTCTACTTCATCTTTGCAATCCATAAAGCACTGACTCATTTCTGGACAGATAACTCCAATGCTAAAAGTTGTGAAGAAAAATAGTTACAATTAGCCAAGTGTCTTGTCCATTAAGCTGCAAAAATGAATACTACTGCTGTTCAAGAAACATTAGTTGCATACACAGGTTTTGCTTCCCAGACAACCCTTAACCACACTTACTGTAGCAGTTTCCCTGGCCTCCAGGTGACAGTCTCAGAAGTGTATTCATTTCATCTCAGACACTCTATCAAAGAGGACTGGAACTGTAAAATCACCAGTTTCTCCCAATCCTGTGTTCCGAGGTATGTTACACACAGTAACAGCAGTAAGAGACTTGTTTCCATCAAAGCCATTAAAGAGACAAGAATCAGCAACTCTACAACAAGATATAAATATGAAATCAATAACAGGAATATATAACCTGTCACCTGCATATAAATGAATTTTACTACCAACATTTACAAATCCAAAAAAAGTACAAATGTAACACACAGGTGAACTCAACCTATTTTTCAGTCAGTTGTTAAACAAATTTATTACAAATATCTTCTTATTGATTATACAGTTTACATCACTTCAAAATTATACACATCCTTTATTATCTTTATATGGAATTTGCACTATAAATATTTTAAAGCTAGAAACAGCACACTGCAATCATTACCTTTAGACCTGTAAGTGTTCTGTAAGACACATCGTTTGCTATCATTATTAATTTAGGATGTTCTGAACCATAATCTGAGTCATTTAGAAGGCAATGAAGAATTAGAAAAGCAATGGTTAGATAACTTGAAAAAGAACATATTTCCCTGCCTAACAGAAGCACTTATGCACATATTTAGTTTTAAATAGTTCAGTTATTTCTGAAAAATTCATCAGATTCATACTTATTTCCACTAATTTTCATTATTTATCTAGAATGAAGTGTGCTGTATTATCTGTGTATACATTAATTCAATCTGATACTGTTTCCCACTTCTCTAACAGCTAGGTTGATGTGATCTTTTCTTTCAAGTTTCTCTAACCTCAAAGAAAGAAACTGCTGGTTCACAACAGCATATCTCCAACTGAAAAAAGATTTCCTAACAGCTTTGTGATACACCATCCTTGAAACTGGTTTATTTATCCTTTTCTAACTTATTTTCAGAGGTACAAGAAATGTCACATGTATTTTGTCAGAAAAAGAAAGCAAAACTCATGGGAACATAACACACACAGTTTATTAAAGTTACAACATTAGGAGAAGATACTGCTAGCTTGTCAGAGAAGTGCTTCTTTTCAAATCTGAACTTCAGCCTTTGTGAAATATGCTGTAGGAAGCCCTGGAGATGAATCACCCAAACTGTCCAGATTATGCTGCTTGAGAAGCAGCAGTGAAAAATTTTCTATGTAATCAAATCTGTTCTAGACAGAGTGAGATCTTGTTATTTCAAGACTTGAAATTTTGATGAAAGTATATCAACATGAAGAAAACAACATGGTCAATAACCTCATGGAATACAGGCGATTAGGACTTTTTGATTCAGGATGGTTACTCAACAATACATTGCTAATATTCACATAAAAAGTCAAATCTTTAAGTAAAAAAAAAAAAAAAAAGAAAAAACCCCAAATACCTTCTTCTGTGAAAGCTGTTAGACCTGTCAGAATTTTGAGATGAAAGAACTGAAAAGCCAAATTAACTGACTACTCTATTGGAAGACGTACATTAAAATAAATGGCAAAGCAAGAAACCTCTAAAGGCTTTCAGAGTAAAACAAAAAACTCACATCTCAGGATGCATGTAGGAAAACCCATAGATACCATATTGCAAGGCAGAACGGTCAATGTTTGTCATGGTTTGAGATTCACCAAAATCCTAATTCCCTAGTCTAAGCCCCCTTGCATATCTCAACCTAATGTGAGATGGGTTTTCCAGACAAAACACGCCAGACTCAGAATGGGGGAAAGGGAATATATTACAATGACTGTACAAATAAATATTATAATACATTATACACACGATCACAACTATCTCTACCATGACATATAGTATTTACAATGGATCAGATCTCTTCTCCCCTCCAAATAAAAGTCCAGGAGGGAAGAAGGACAGATCCCTTCCAATCTCTAAGCAAGAGTATCTTCTACAGCATGCATGCAGCAGTTGTGGCTGGATTTCTGCCAGCACTCACGAGGGAGGCCTCCAAGCCTCTCTCAGCCCCCTTGACACAGGTAAAGGGGTCTTCCGTGGGCTACATCACCTCAGACAAAGGTTGTTCCACCACGGTCATACCACGAAACACGGGGGGTCTTCGTGGTGGTCTGGTGTCTTCAGGGGACTCAAACCCCTTCCAGAGCTTCTGTGCCCTGCCTCAGGCTGCCACCTTGGCAGCAGTGCGAGGGGGAAGCCAAGGTCACCCCCTCCGCATTCCTCTCCGTCCTGGCCCAGCTTCAGGATGCTTTTGAGCTTCTCAGCTCCTCTCTCTCTCTAGTGCTGCATGTCCAAGGCTCCTCTCCATAATAGGAGTCCATGTCCCTCCTTTCCTGGGGGTCTCAAAGGAGTTTGGGGGGTCTGGTTCAGTTCTTACCCCCAAAACTCTGTAGCTCTGCTGCTGACTCTCCTTCTCGGCTCCCCGAGACAACTCAGTGCCTTCCTCACTCAGCTGCATGCTGTTTCTGCTGCTTCTCTGGTTCAGTTCTTATCTGTCCTGGCTTTTACCCAGAGTCTCTGGATGCTGCATCTGCCACTGCTGTCTCTGCTCACTCACAGTGGAGAAAACTTTCTCAGCTCTTACTTGCAGGTACTTAGCCCAGCTTTATGCTGTTCCAGGTCCCCACAGGCCCCCACTGGGGGCTGGGGGCCAAAGCCCCCCTGTGGGACTCTGAGCCCCTTCCTCGTGGCTCTACAACATGGCCACCTCTCCTACAACCAAAAACTACAACTCTTCTCTTCCATTTGGTTGTGATATGTTTATATTTTGCAGAAGCACTCATTGGACAAAACTTCAAGAGTTACCACCCCCTGGGGGTTACCACTTTCAACTGCAGGGGGAAAACTTGGTTTAAACTACAATGTTTTAACATCTCTCACTTAAAATCTTCATGTCAAGTGTTCCCTGGACTTTGATGTGTGTTATTTGCTGGAATTCTTTAGCCAATTTAGTGGGCACTGTAAGAAAATGTTGATTTAATAATACTGAAAAAGAGCCTCACCTGGAGGCACTAGTACGTGCAGTGGTTAAACCCCAGTGGACAACTAATTACCATGTAATCGCTTGCCCACTTCCCTTCCCACCACCAACCAACTCTGGATAGCAAGGAGAATTAGAAAAAGGTAAAACTGGTGGATTGACATAAGAACAGATTAATAACTGAAATAAAAGAAAAAATTAAGACCATAATATAAGGATAATTAACAATAATAATAATAGTAATAATAATAATAATAGTAATAATAATAATAATAATAATAATAATAATGGGATTAAAATCCAAGAAACCAAATTTATGCACAATACAACTGCTCACCACCTGTCAACTGATTTTCAGCCTGTCGCTGCGCAGCAATCAGGACTTCTACTCTATGTACTGAGCATGATGTTCTGTGGAATGGCATACCACTTCGGCCAGTTCAGATCACCTGCCCTGGCCATGCTCCCTCCTGGCTTCTAGTGCAGCTTCTTACTGGCAGCATTGGAAACACATTATTTGATTACTTTATTATCTCATAATGATACATAACTACTTATAAGTTTATTAGACACTGCCAACTCATTATGAATCACTTTTGCCCCAAGACTGCTTCAAAATTAGAAATTCCCTATGGCAGAAATAGCAGTCAGCATAAATTTCTAGGAAGTACGAGGAAAATGTGCTCAAAAGATCTCTTCCTGTATTTTCAGTCAAATTTTGCACTGCTGGTGACTTACACAGAGAAAACAAAGCAACAGGCAAAGGTAAGTGGTTAAATTTATCTCAAAAGACAAATAGCAAACGCTGCATTGCTTATTCTACTTCAGTGAGAATTTGTCTTGAAAATATCATTCTTTTTTTCCTTACTCAGGTTGCTGGTGCAGCTGGAAACTCAGATGAAAAATTAGCTAACCAATAGTCCCCAAGACACATTTGTTCAAAACCTGCTTCATCTTCAGTGGACACCTGAGGAGAAACTAGTTAAAAGCTTGACAGATTCAACACATGGTAAAGCATCTTTCGTTGGCAGTGCTTTAAATTGCTATGAGGGAAGGTGTATCGGTGAACCAGAAGTCAGCAGAGGGAAAGAAAAAGCCACTAAGATGTTGCCTCTATCTTAGAAAAAGGTGTCATATACAGAATCCCAGAGGTTCAGAAAAAAAGCAAATTATCCAAATTAATTTTAAAAATTCTTAATCAAATCTTATTTATCTATCTGTGGAAACATATATATTCTAAGACTGATGTTATGTTTAGCACTAGTTTCACATCAGGTAAAAGGACAGATTCTCCAGTTCATACCCTCTCTGACCTTCAGAAGAGTCAAATTTAGACCCTACAGATGCAGGAGAACAAATAAGTTTGTTTTTAAATTACAGTTGGATAAGCTGATGAACAGGATTCTAAGATGTGCTCAGCTGTAATAACAAAGGTCTGTGCTTGATGACAAGAGTTTTTTGAAGTTTCTTACATCCCAATGACATATATCAATGCAAAAAAATGTCCAGAACTATTCAAATACAAGTGGATTAGATTTAATGAAGTACGGATTAGACTCCAAACAAAAAGAATCATATGTCTGAAAGGTGTCTGAGAGTATAACAGAAAACAAAATAAATCAAATTAAATAGGATTGCCTGAATGATTCTATTACAATGGTAATCGCCCCTCTAACATCTGCTGTTTCTTCTTGATCTTAGTTCAAGCCATAAGCAAGTCTTCTCAAGCTGAACATCAAGTCAAGTGTTTTGCCTCCTCCAAGATCTTCACTGTATTTAAAACTATCAGTCACAACCTGGCTTTACTACAAATCAGAGATTACTTGCTTTGGGGTGGCCTTGTACCAACACCCTCCAAATTGGCTTGGACTAAAGATGTGCTTTAATACTTGGCCAATACATAATAAAAAAAAATAATAAAAAAGCATAAGTAGGGTTTATGAAAGGACTAGTGAGTATGGGGCAACTGATTTCCTTTTCAATTTATAGTTTTTTCTTCTAGAACTCTCTTCAGAAAGGGAGGAGACAAAGCTTACAGACACAAAATTCTCTGTAGATTAAATACTTAAATGCAAATGCATTCTAGAATGTATAAAAAACGTTCTTGTACAGATCTTCTGAATCCCGCCTCTCCTCCCATGGGATACTGCCACATCACCCACCCTGCAGGATGGAATGGGTGTGTATATAGAAGCAAATATCCTTCTCCTGGATAGAAAAAGGCCTCTATAGACAAAAATAAGCATAGGAAAGCCAGTATCAAAGAGCATAAGCCTGCTTCAAGGCCATCAGAAATGGGAAGGAACCAATGAGGTGTATTTGGACCACCTCATTTCTGTTACTCTGATAGGAAATTCAGATTGTTTTGTGTGCAGATTGCTTTGTGTGCAGAACCCTCCTCTAGTTCTGGATTTAAAAGGTTCTTTTTATAGCTAAGGATGCTCAATGATTTCATTATTAGCCAGTTTCATTTCTTTGTATATATGAAGGAAAAATCCATACTGCTTGACAAAAAGGAATGCAAATGTAAAGGAATTATTTATCCCTTTTGACTAATCAGATAATGAATTCGCTAGGGGAGGGGGGGAGGAACATGACACAACAATTTTCATTACAATCTAATTAAAATTATTACTTGTCTCACTACGGCAATAAGTCAACAAACTTGCTTGCATTTCTTTGTACTCACAAATTATACCCCTATATGCCTGAAAACAATTCAGCACACTTTTTGTTCCAAAGAATAAAAAAACTCCTAAAAAACAAAGTATGCTTTAAAGCCCTTTTCAAGAGATTGACTTACTTTCGAGTTCCACTTCATGCTTGCGAAAGCTTTCCAACTTACCTGAATACTGATGTACAAGAATGCAATCTGCAAAGCTGCAGGAAAGGCATGTGGTTTTTCACAGCCACAAGACATATGTGTATATATGTGTACTCATATGATGGGTATGCCTTCAGGTTAGACAGGGCAACTGATGGATACAACCATCCTGCCAGCCTGGTGCCTTGGAAACATACCTTCAGTCAACCTTCTCTGAGCCTGGATTTCTCTCTAAGACATACAGACCTGGCTACCAGTGCAGTAACCTGGTACCATTCTCTTCAGAGAGAGTTGAAAGCCAGAGACATATTGTAGAGCTGTGCTGGGAATGTGTTCCAGTCAATCTCTGTGTCAGAGAATTAGGAGGTGAGGTGTAAAGAGTGAGTGTCACAGGCACAGCATGGGAACTTTACAGGTTTTCTTCTGGAAAGAGAAAAGATGATTATGAGCACCTTTTCTTTCTGGAGACAAGTCTGAACAATAAAGCCTGTTCTCATAAGTCTAACTCCAATTTCACACTAGAGACGAGACTGTAACTAATATTTTCAGTGAGGCTATGAAGACTCTGCCTGCAATAGGCAGTCTCCCTCTGAAAAGCATGATAGAGTAGGCAGGAGGAAAGACTGGCTCTGTTACAGGTTCCACTTCTAACACAGTGCTCATTTAGCTCGTTTATAATAGCATTACATTAAATTGTCCTGTAACAAGTTGGCAATGGGTATTTTAATGCAAAATCAGGTTTAGTGAAGGCAGCTGCAAGTCAAAAATATTAATCTGCCTCTTCTCATTAATCATAAGGCAATTTACATGCTCTGGCCATATGCATTCTTAATAAAAATAATATCAGCAGTCATAGGAATGATCCAGTTCTAATAAATTTTGCAATATTCACATTTTCAAATAAGATGGATAACAGCTGTGTTCAGCAAAAAAAAGGATACATTTTCTTGCCCCCATGTAAACTTTTAAACTGCGTTGACATGTCAAGGACCTAAAATATTACAACTTCATAGTAATCTTAGGTTATTATATTATACCTGTTTATTCCTCTGTTTTAATCATGATTTTTATAGATTTTCTATATAATGATTCACCACAATCTTTTATTAATTTACCATGACCAAAATTTCTTACAAGCATAAAGCATTTATTTCACTGCTACAGCATCTAACCTAAGGATCTCAAAAAGTTAAAAATTGTCAGCTAATTAATTCTAACAACATTGCGATAATTTGACAAAGGTTACATAGATTTCATTTCAGCCACCAGCAAAATACCTTATCTTCTGATGTAAAATGCAATAGCTGACTAAAAGGTCTCAATAAAATAATATTTTGGGTCTTTTTCTACCATGTGCTCTGCAGTTTCTATTATCTAGCTGTAGATTATCTGGGATCTTATAGAATCAGACATTAAATGACTTCAGAGAACACATATGTTTATGTAGAAAGGGTCAAGAAACACATGTGGTTCTCTGCAGAAGGCACAGACTTTAAAAAATGAAAATCTGGAATTAATATAGACTGTGCCTGCTTGGCCAGATGTCCTTTTCATGTTAGCAAAATGACTTAGCCATAGCATTTGTTAGTATTACATTTTGGGACCCCTTAGTGCAATTATCGCACTAGTAATTTAACTGTTACACCATCAACTTGCAAATGTTCACTTAAATTGAAGCACATGGCAGTATCTCTATGCTTATAAAAGACATGATAAGCCACATCCTTCTAGCAAGTACTTCAAAAAACAGGTTCACTAAGCATACGTTTGACACAGCTAATTATAGAATCAACTACAAAAAATACAGGAGTGTAACAGATGACATTCTTGAAACATCCTGATCTGCATGAGGTAAAATCCCAACACATCTCAAGAAATATGGTCAAAAAGCTATCCCACTCAGGGAAAGAACTGCCTGCCAAACTACATACGAAAAATATGACATTTCTTATAAATCCAGAATCACAGTTCATAATTCTCGGTCATCCTGCAAACACTTTGCAGCACCACTGTAGTTGCAAAGCAGGCATTAGTCATTTTAAATTACAGACTATCCTGAAGGACTCAAGCCTAGTTTAAAACTACTTCAGTTTTGTTCCATGCCTAGACTGGACACAAACCTGAAACATTTAATCTTTTCTTACAAAGAGGGGGGAGGGGGGAAAAGTACAGGTTATACATTTGGTACAATCTGAACCCTCTGGCTAAACTATGTGCTATGCTTCCTGAGAGGCAAAGCACAGGAAAAAAGTGTATGACACCTTTACCCATGCTGCATTTTGAACTACTCTAACAAGGAACAGCCTCTTGGTGTTGATGGACCACATGAAGCCACATGAACCCCTCCTTTCATTGTCTGCAGATGCTTTCTTTTCTTAACTCTCTGATTTGGAAGTGTATGGAGAAACTGCATAGAATAGATGGCACACATTTGTATGGCTTACCAAATTTAATTTAGATATTGTAGTTACTGTGGCCTTTCAGGTTTTGAGAATTGTATGCCATTTAGATCTCGCATTATTTAGGAATGCCAGACCATGGTTCCCTAGAAAGACAGTTGAGAGGTCACTGAAGCTTAATCAGTTCCATAATCACAGCACAGTTCATTCCCTGAAAGAAGGACTCTCCCCTGTACCCTTTCAGCTCCAACAGCCACACAACACTATGATCAGAAGAATGACCTCTCTAACTCTGATGTCTGACTCAGTTCCAGGAACAGTTTTCCAAAGTGCTGTCAGTGTGAGCCACGTACTAAGATGCTGAAAAACAGCACGCAGGGTGATCATAAATCATCATGGCAGAACTAAGCAAAAGACAAACAGGGTGAAGTAGGTGCACGCAGAAGAAAGATGGAATGGGGAAAAGATAAGGGTACATGTATATAGGCAAAAAGGGTATTACTACATTTGCTTCTCCCTCTCCTTTCTCCTAAATAATATTTTTGGTAGTTTTTTCTCTATTTTCCTGCTACTTTGTGACTCCTAAAACACTTTAATACAAATCTTGACATTAGAAAAAAAAGGCAGAAAATCTGCAAAAGGACAACCTCTGCTTCTTTTCAGAAGGGCACAAGAAATACTTTCTCCCTCCATCCTCCAAACAGGATGGGAACCACATCAGTGAAGAATTTTCTTGAACCTTCTTCAATCATTTTTTTCTAACATGCTGAAAATGTGTCTCCTGCTTTCATCTTCTGTCTCTATTCCTTCCCTTTGCTTTATTCTCATGATAAAATGGTGCGTATCATTAACAGTCTTTAATGGACTTAATATTGTTTTGATTTTTTTTTTTTCTTCCAGAGATGTGGTTGGTACCTGCAGCTGCTTATAAAGTATTTCAAACAACCTAAAACAAGTGGCCTGAATGATTCAAGATTACTGGTAAGGGCAAACAGAGCCTTTCAACTTCATAAGACAAATTAAAATGCATCATAAGATGATAGTGATGAAAGCCACATGCAATTATGTCCTAAAGTTTTATATGAAACAAATGTGGTGTGCTCGGAGATCTATTCCATATCAAGAAACACGCTACATGTGGCATTGGTTAACAGGAGCTGGCAGTCTCCAAAGAATGGTTGCAGAACCAGTGCTTTATGAAAATTAATTGCTCTTTTAGCCCTGGAAGAGGTGCTTTAGCTCAGAATTTACACACTGCATAAAGATGTATTAGGTACAGTAAGCCTTTAAGCAAAGTGGTAAGGATGTAGACCAATTCCATGACCACTTAACTCTTCTCTGCTGCTCAGGGATCTCTGTGAAGTTTAACAGTAGAGATATTCATAGTACCAGATGGTCTGGAATTTGACTACATAGAAGATGGACTGGGAGGGAAAGGAATAACCTTTATCTTTACTGAAATAATCAAACTGTATAACACAGTTTAGTCACAGTACTCTTTTTTTTACTTTTGTTTTAATTGTGCTTCCTTCTTTTTATAAAAGGCCAGTACTGCCATAAGGCAGCCCTGATAGCTGGCTCCAGGAAAACAAAGGTGCCAAGACACGGAGAAAGTAGACCTGCCCTTGGACCGAGACAGCAAAGCAGAAGATACAAATATAACTTGTGTGTGCACAACCCATCTGACCACAGTTCCCTCACAATTATCCTTCCTGACAACACTGAAGAACAGTGCATAGAGACTATCTCAGTTCCCAGCTAGTTATTGCTACCAGCCCTGATACTATTGTTATGATGTAAGAGATCCTCTACAGCTGACGTCCCCAGACCAAAGATATTGTCTCTGAAGAATACCAGAAGAAAATGAGCACTCCATGTAGCCATACATTTCACATATCTTCCAGCTGGTTCTTGGCATATCTCTTGCTGCCACCAGAGACTCTTTTAACTAATTGAAAAGTGGAAAATCAAGTATTAAAGGGTGCCTGAACTGACTTACATCAATCAGTGTAAAGACAAAAAAAAAATATTCTGTTAATATTTTAGATTACTTTGGTCCTAACATCTTATTTAATATGTTTCTGGAACCCAAATTAAATTCAGAAAAGCAACACCACTGAAAGAGCAAAACCACATGACATGTACTTCAACACAATACAGGAATTAGGATCAAACCCAAGAGATCAAAACAACTACATTCAATAATTCAAATTACTCAGCAATTAAAAAAAAAAAAGAAAAGAACATTTTATGGTCCATAAACCAATGTATCAGCTGCTATTGCACTTAAATTTTTCATTCTACCAATGCTCCCTACAGATATGCACCACTTGAGCTCCAATAAGTAGGTAAAAGTGAGATTCTTATGGAAGCTTTACAGGTAAACTCCATTCAGGGATTAGTTGTATTTCATGTAAGTAGAGTTCAGAGCACAAAAGCTGATAATACTTAAAACTATAATAGTAAATTAAATTCTTCTTTTCTTCTAGTGCTCTTAAAGAAGAGTTTTAAGCATATCTTAAAACTCTTCAGCACTGTTTTACAAAAATAAACAGTGATGATTTGTTTTTTAGATGAGTTGGGTAAAGAAAGATATCATTAAATCCGTCCAGAGCACAGGCACCTGCAGAGTCAGACACTCAGAGAAATGGTCTGGGAACTTCTGAATGCTTCCAGAAGGTTCCTCAGACGTTTTTCTGGGCTCTGGTGCAAGTAGCAAAGGATTTTGCTCATTTTTTTCCTGTTCCTGTGCATTGTGCACCCTCTAGTGGCAAAAAAACAAAACAAAACACCAAACCAAACAAAAAAAACCAGAAAACCAACCAACCAAACAAACAAAAAAGACAAAAAAACCAAACCAAACGAACCAAACAAACAAAAACATATTTTTCACTATTCAAACCCTTTCTTGGCTTTACTGTCAATGCAAGATAAACCTTTTATTAAATGCATTCTACCCTATTTTCTCAGGGATTTCATCTATCTTTTATTTCATGCCACACAGCAGCTCAACACATTGATATTTTAAATAGATTGTCACAAGGCTATTATTGTGCAAGTAGTATGTGGTTTCAAGAGAATTCTGTTGTAATCAAGGTCACTCGTGCCATCTCTAAATTAAAAAGATACCCTTAAATCAATAAACACCTCTCTTAGACACTTGGAATCTCGAAGCCCTATCCATCTTCTGCAGTCACACTGCAATATCCCTTAGCCTAGCACAATTTTAACGTAGTTTGCACAATACTGAACATGATTTTGTCTAGATTTCCTCATGTAACTAAAATACAAAGTAATGACAATGAGGAAGTCTGGAAATTCCAAAAGAGAAGCAAAAAAGGATCAAGACTCACCAGCCAAGGACTACTCTTAACCATATGAAGGAGAAAAACAAACAAAACAAACTAACATAAAAACCAAACAAAAATTCAAAACCAAAACCAAACAAAAACCCAAAAAACCCAAGAAAACCATGAGTATACCTTAAAAAGGATTTGTAAGCAAATTCAAGATTCTGGATGAGATAGAAGCAATGAAAACAAAATTCAAATTAATGATCCTAATTAGACGAAAGTATTCAGAGCAAACACATCCTTACCCTAAGACACAGAGACTGGTAGATGTCTTACAGAAGGTTAAGGGATACCTACACGGGATATACACGGAAAAGCTTTCAGCTCATCTGCACTGTGCCTGTGTCAGACCGATATTCTCTGAGATGGTAGAGCTCTTGCAATTTCTGTAAACCATCACACCAGCCAAAGAGAAGTTAGTATCTGACTAACCCCTACTAAAGGCTGTAAGTGGCCATGTTATGCTTTTAAATTATACTAACAGGATATAAAGGCCTCGTTTTAGAGGTCTGTGTACTTAAAATCGGTTGACAGATAGACGTACACGTGGCACTTCTCCAGTAAAAAAAGATTTTGCTGACTCTGACAAAACCAAGGTGTCTTCTTTATGCTATCACCAGTTTTTCAGACAGAATTGCATGCAGTTGTTTCTATGAATGTACTTCATTCGGCAGCATGCAGCACTTGAACTGTTTCCAAAAATAGAATGAACTCCATTCTTTGTTTTAATAAATCTGTTTTCCCATAATAATTGATTCCAACATTGTCTTTACAGTTCAAATGGATAACTAGTAAAACTAATGTATACTGACTCAAGCAGCACAGAGTTTACTGAAAGGGGCCTGATCCTGGGCTTCTACAAGTAACATTTTGTCTTACAGGTCCTTGCTAATTTACAGATAGGTCACTGTTAAACAGATATGCTACACTGACTACTGTTAAACAAAAATGAACAAGATTTTGGTAACAAGGACAGAATTAACTGGCCTCATAGCATATGGTTCAAAAAATGTTTTAGCAAACATCACATGTACTAATACTGTTACAGCTATTGTTTCAATATTACAGCATAATCACTTTATGCTCCTGAAAATTATTATTTTCAATTGTACATATTATGGTCCTAAAGATAAGCTACAGTATCTCCTCTCTTATGGGTGTTATATCATTTCTAAACTTAGAAAAATTTAGTATAAAAGCTCTTAGGCTGATGAGCAAAATTTTTATCCTTTCATATCTAGCTTTCTAGTTCCAATGACTATTATCCATCTAAGCGCCTTCTCTGCTGTAAAATAAACATGTTTTGTAAACACTTAGTAACGAATGTTTATGGTGGGGTTTCAGGGGTTGTTTGGGTTTGGTTTTTTTTAACCAAACACCTCACCTCCTTTGGAACTTCTTTCACAGTTTTTCTGTAATCAATGCAAATACCTAACTTAAATATCTTCATGGTTTTTAAGCCTAACATGAGATTATGTGAATATTCACATAATTAACTTGGGTTTATCCTGACAATTTTCTTCTCCATCTTTTGGCTCTCCATAGTATTGATAAGGAAGAGCTGTCCCTGGCAAGTGCTGTTTTGTGTAAAATTTCAATTAAACAAATCATCTGAACTAACATTTCAAAAACAACATAATTTTGTAATTGCAAAGAAAGATCACACTCAAGATCAGGTACTGCACAGATTCTGTACATGTTTGAGACAGTGATTTTAAAATTCAGATGACAATATAGAACTATTTAGAACTAATACATGTACCCAGAGCAAATGTACATCATACATATGTGTATATAGAGAGGCAAAACCCACACAAATTGCTTTGCTCTCTTTCAGCACATTTTGCTTGCTTTGCAGCATGAGAAAAGCACTAGGTTTTCCGTATTGTGCATACACAAGTGCTCTTGGTGTCACTACCTTACACATAAATAAAACCAGACAAATATACACTTCCTAGCTTCTGTATTGCAAACAATCATGTTGCGTCATAAAATTGAACTAGCACATACAGTGAAAAGTTTATTTGTTTAAACACAAAATCTTTTTCTCTGGGAGATGGTATTTTTGTTTGCTTTAAGCTTTTCAGAAATCTGAGTGATCTGCTGGTTTGTACTCTCTCATGTCTCATGAGAACCATCTAGTGACCAAGGCTCTCAGTTCGTGCTGCTGGTTTGCAATGGTGAACAATTACTCATGTTTGTAACATCTCCCCTGACTTGTCTTATTCATGCTTGTAAAACCTCCCCTAATTCGTCTGCACTCAGACAAAATCACATGATTAACCTTTTTTTTCATCAGTGATTTATATATACTATTTGTTGCTTGGATTCCTTTGACATAAATAAGTACTAACGTTCAAATCTTTCACAGATCCCAAACATCACTTCAAATGCACAGTGCAACATGAATAGCATAGTGGTATCTCACTGGTAGGTTACACTGCCAGTTCTACATAAACCAGTTCAGGCACCAGCAGTCTAACTGGAGCCATACTTATAACCAAGCAGTTTAATCTAGCTCTCAAGTGGGTTTTGATGCTGCAATTAAAAGTTTACTAAAGAGACAGCTATTTTAAAAGCTCGAGGATACCTAGCAGGCCATACAGGCACACTATTTGCCTGGTCACAAACACCACTAAAGAAATGGGTAAAAGCAAGTTTAGCATTTCTGTGGAAACTCTGAAATTCCTTAAAGCCAAAATAATTTTTTTTTTCAGATATTTAGTGAAATAGCCTGAATCAAAACACAGCTTTCTCACTTGCTATATTCCATGTGTGAAAAGAGTATCTTTATCTCTTAAAAAAAAAAAGGTAACAGATTTGTATACTTTTAACTTGTATTTCTGCCTTTTAAACTCAGTTTCAACTCAGTGAAGCAACCAACAGATATAGATTTAATTATATGCAAAAGATGTTCTACTTGCAATGCAAATTCAATACAAAAAATCCAAAGAAAGCAGCCCTGCTTTAAATGAGCACAAATAATTCATTACACTGATTTGAAAAGAACTGTGCTTTAATACATAGATTACTAAAGGCCAGAGTTGATAAAGTCCTAGATTTCTGTGGGTAAAGTTTTAGTGAAAACCTGACCATCTGTAAGACACTTCATTAACATCTTTTAATTCTTTTCTAAATTATGCAACCATTATAGCCCCTTAAACTTCTAGTTAACCATATTAATCTGCCATCTACTGAAAAGTTCGACAATATAAATTGAAAGCAGAATATTAAGGATCAGGTGACACCTTACGATAAAGTTGGAAGACCACTTTTAGACACGATGCTCTTGTATTACATCTTTCTTCTGAACTTCTTCAACCCTCTCCATCTTACTAGATAAGGTGTAATTAAGGCAGACAGTGGTCCACAGAGATGAGAGTGTTGGGAAGTCATGATTAGACATACCAGAAACAACATGGTTTAATTCTCCTTACAATACTACACTCAAGCAGGCTTGTTAACATACACAGACTTCACCGGTGCCACAAAATGTCCTGTGACTTCTGAAGATAACATTTTAAGTTCCTTTCATCTTACCTTTGATTTTTTTTACCAATTTCACTAATTTTCTCTTCTAAGAAGCACAGTGGGTGAACTTCATCAACATACAGCAGGCTTCTACTTGAACCTCACAACAATGCTTGAGGGGTGTTCCAGGGGTCAGTCATCAGTGGGAGCTGGTCTTGTTCTCTCTGCACACAGGATCCTGGCACTCTACTGCTGGAATGATTTTTAGGCTTAAAACCTTTTCTTAACCAACAGAAGAAACACAAGCACATTGAACCTCAGCAATGCCATCTCTACATTATCTCCTTACAAGATACTAAACCTTGGCAGAAGTTTAATGTGTCATAAATAGTAGCAAATTGCACTAAGGTCAATTAAGAAAAAAATTAATAAGCTTAGCAATTTGTTCTGTAATGAAATGTATAAATGTAATTTAGCACAACAATATGAGAAGATGCCAAAATATGGTCTTTAACATAAACTGCTTCAGTAATGCTTTTTTAAATGCATCTCTAAAACATCAACAGATTCATGATCTTTGACAAAGCACTTTGCATTAGCAAAGATATAACAATTCTGTGATAATGGTACCAGAACTACCATGGACTGTGATGTCTGAAATTTTATAATCATGCTTACTTTATTAGTTTTTAATTTTGTTCTTTTTCTGTATTTATTCTTATACAAACTTTATACAATCATTTACAATTCCATCTAAAATGAAGCACAGAATAAGCTTGCTATCTTATATAACAAAATACAACCCTCCTTATGAAAATAACTTCACAAAACCTTCTACTTCACATTTTCAGCAGGAGAAACCTCTTGAAACAAGACGTTTCTTTCAATTTGGCCAATATCTGATTATTATTTACCCCATAATCACAAGCCATCGCTGATTTTAACTCACCTTTTGCGGAAGAGCTGAAACTACACAAACCACCAGCCAACAACTCACATCAGAACCACTGCTCTTGCTAGCACTGCCACCTGCTGTTGATGTTAATTTTGTCTCTTGCTCAATAGCTTTAAAACACCAATTTTGTACAGCTAATTTCACTTAGCCTATAAAAAAGAGATATAATCAACATTGATTTTTTTAACTATTTTAAACACACTCGCTGTTTCAGTTTCTGCTGGTAGTAGATGTATAATTGTCTTATTCTCATGCTTTTCTAAACACACAGAATAACAACAATAAAGAATGAAGATTTTTCTGTCTGCTGTTTTGGAGGTGTTTGCTTAAGATCCTGTATGTGTTTCTTAAGAGGTTTTCACAGAATAAAAATTAAAGAGTAAATCAACTAATCACAAATTTATTAAAATCATGTTTATTTTTTAAGCCAACACAACTAGCATGGAAATTCATGACATATTAAAGAAATAGGTTCTACTACTCTTTAAAAAGTAGATCTAGTAAAATGTCGTGGGATTTTATTATTTAAGTAAGGTCTGCAGCTCTACAGTAGCAACAGAATGCTAGGAATTTAATCTGAGAGGGCTATTATCCAATGAAACAGTTCCTTTGCAACTGTGTTTGGTACTAGCCTAGGTTTCTACATAGACAAAAATGCAGACAAATTGAAGAATAATTTTATTTCTGAAATTCAAACTTGGTACATGCATGTACTTTAGTTTTGTAAGTTTATATATATATATATATATATATATATATATATATATGTGGGGGGGGGGTAATTTATTTAATTATATGCTTATATATTTAAACATATAATATAGCCCTAAATCTACTACTAAATTTCAGGAGTAGGAGGCAAGCCATGCCATCCCCATGGTTGGCTTATACTGCTCCTCAGAATACTGAGTTGGAAGGAAAATCTTCCTTTTCAGTGACTGGTCTTAAAAGCTGAATTCCACAAAAAAGTTCATCACTAAAATTTTTGAAACAAAAAACAATGTTACAAAAAGGACAGTGGGATAAAAAGCACTGATAAACTTTTGCAGCAGATTTCAAGAATCAAATTGAGGACTTGTTTCTGCTCTATTTGATTTCCATGGCAAGGTTCTAGTAGTGGTAGGGGCTACAGGTGCAGCTTCTGTGAGAAGCTGCCAGAAACTATCCAAGAGAGGCAGTGCCAGCCGGCTCCAGGACAGACCCACCACAGCCAAGGCCAAGGCCATCAGCAATGACAGTGGTGCCTCTGGGACAACAGATTCAGGAAGGTAAAAAAGTTATGCACAACAGCAATTGCAGCTGGAGAGAGGAGTATGTGAGAGAAGCAGTTCTGTAGACATCAAGGTCAGTGAAGAAGGAGGGAGAGGAGGTGCTCCAGGTTTCGGAGCAGAGATTCCCCTGCAGCTCCTAGTGAGGCAGCTGTTCCTCTGCAGCCCATGGAGGTCCATGGTGGAGCAGAGATCCACCTGCAGCCCATAGAGGATCCTACAGCTAAGCAGGTGGATGCCTGAAGGAAGCTGTGACCTTGTGGGAAGCCTGTGCTGGAGCAGGCTCCTGTCAGGACCTGTGGCCCCATGAAGACAGAAGCCCACACTGGAGCAGGTTTGTTGGCAGCACTTTGACCCCTTGGGGGACCCAGGCAGGAGCAGTGCACATTCCTGAAGGACTGCAGCCATGGAAGGGACCCATGTTGGAGCAGTTCGTGAAGAACTGCAGCCTGTGCGAAAGACCCATACTGGAGAAGTACGAGGAGATCTCCCGTGGGAGAGATCCCAAACTAAAGCACAGTAAAGAGTTCCTCCCCTGAGGAAGATGCATCAGCAGAGATCACAACCCCTGTTCCTGTCCTACTGCACTGCTAGGAAGAGGAGGTAAAAAATCAGGAATAAAGTTAAACCCAGGAAGAGGGTGGGGGAGTTATTTTTAAGATTTTGCTTTACCTCATTATCCTACTCTGGTTTGATTGGTAATGAATGAAACCAATTTCCCCAAGTCAAGTCTGTTTTACCCAGTAACTGGAAAGTGATCTGTCCCTATTTTTATCTCACCCCACAAGCATTTCATTACATTTTCTCTCCCCTGTCCAGTTGAGGAGGGGAGGGACAGAGTGACTTCAGTGGGCACCTGGTGTCCAGCCAAACCCAACCTACCACATACTTTTTAGGGAAGTTCTTTCTTCTAGCCACTATGCTAGGGACTGGGCTGACAGAACAAGGACATGGGCAACGTTAAAACAGTATGGGTATATAAATTACATCCATTAAGAAAAGAGTAGAATCAGCAGTCATACAATGATGGCAACACCTAGGTTCAACCACTTCTTTTGGAAAAAAGACAGAGGAGAATGTGACAGAGTTGTACTATGAATGACATGAAAGATAAATGACAAATGACTGTTCGTGCCCTTCCAATACGGTAAGAATCAGAACAGAATACTAGGTGACAGGTCCAAAGCAAAAACACCACCACAAAAAAAAAGTGCTTTTTTCCAAACTATTTGAAGTTAAGCTGTGGAGGGCCTTGCTAGAGAATGCTGCAAATGCTAGAAGTTAATAATGTTGAAAGAAAAAAAAGTATTTTTTCTTAAACCCTTCGTTAGAAAATTCATTGACTGTTAATAACTACCAATGCCACCACTGACATATTCTGCACATTATTGAAAGGAGGTCTAAAGAAGAGTTCTTGCACTCATTAACACCATATGTTTTAATCACTACCAAAGAAGTGATAGACATCTTGGTTTAAACAAACTGAGCAAGTACCAGCCTGAAAACAAGTCAAACTATCTGAGAAAAATAAAAGAATAGAAAATGATAACTGGATGTCAACAGGCAGGATGTAGCAATTTAAGTAACTACATTGAAGGCTTAACAGTGATTGGGTGGGACAAAATTATGGAAGAAGATAGCTAAGATGAACAACAGTGAGAAAGAGGAAAGCAGTATAATGAGCAAGAAATTTGTGGTGGGAATCAACACTGCAGACATAAGCAGATCCAAGAGATGGACAAAGAGTTTAAGCCAGCAGATACAAAATGTTCCATGACGGCTACAGTAAAGGTATGTAGAAATGAACGTCAGTATTTTTAAGGGTATTTGGTAAAGGACCATTTTCTGTGAGGTAAACCATACACAGGAACATACAGGGCCACAAACCTGACCACCAAATGATAAGGGAGGTGGTGATGAGAACCAAACCTGATCAGCCACCCTAACTTATGTGGGCATGTGAAAGTGCAGGAATGTTTATTCCAGCAAGATTATCTTGATTCAGAGCTTGACTGGCAAACCAAGGGAACAGTGGTAAGACAGGAAGCAAAATACACTAAGACACACACCTGACAAAGCAAACATGGAGACAATGACAAGAAACAAACCCTGCCAAGTCACAACAGCGGCTGGGCTATCAAGCATCTACAGCCACCACTCTGAGGAAAACTCACTAGTTTGCAACTGGTCAGTCTGCAAACTCAGGGGCCCCGAACTGTGTGGGGTGAGGGAATCTAAAAAGCTGTGGAGGGACAAGCACGGAAAGGCAGAGCAGGAAGGAACAGACACAAAGCAGACAGAAAAGGTAAAAAGGGGTCCAGTTGCCTGTAAAATCAGGTAAGTCAGTACACTCGTCTGGCTGAGCCCTGCTCCTGATGGCCACAGTCTGCCTTACCTTCTTACATCTTCTTATGAAAACTTCTCTCACTTTCTGCTCTGCACAATCTTACTGTCTTGTGTGTGTGTGTGCTGCAAGGACTCAGTGCCAGGTACTGGGGAGGTCTTGCATGTGTGTGTGTGTATGGAATGCGGTGCCAGCCATGGGAGTCAGACCGAGGACGTGGGTGCTCCTGGGCTGTGGTGCCAAAGAACTGGAGTTACTGGGGGGATCCCAGCATAAACTACTGGAGCAGAAGGGGCCCCTCCGGTCACAGTCCTTATTCCCAAATCCAGCTGCTGTTACAGACTGCTCTCCCAAAAATGAACCAACCTATTTCCCTGTCTACAGGGAGCACTCAGTGACAACACAGTGTTTCTTTTCTTTCTGGTATCACTCCATTCAAGGATCAGCTCCACCTACATCACTAGCAGAGTCAGCAAAAATCCTTCTGGTGGCTCTTTCTACTGCTGAAAATGCAAACTTCTTTTCTACTGCTCCAAAGAAAGATCAAGCTAAACTTGAAAAGTTTCACAAATAGGCACAAAAATTCAAACAAAAAGAAACCAAAACCTCATAAATAGATCTTGAATGCTGCAAAGTAAAACACTAAAATTAGAAAGTGTCATAATTAATGCCATTTTAAGCCATATAGATTATAGCAGGTGTCCCATGACATCATCACACACTATTTTCTCACAACAGTATTTTTGTTACAGTGCAGGTAGATCCTCTGTGTTCTGGAAACAAAATGAGGTCTTTTTTTTAAAGTTAAAAAATTTTGCATGTTTCCTGCCTCATGTATTACATAAACAGACAGTGCATATCATCAAGGCAAAGAATCAACCCAGAGAAGGAACACTCTTATGAAACCTGCTTTAGAAATTTCAGTTTTTACCCCTGTATTGGATCTACCACTTCCCATGGATACGTAAAAAGTTCTTTTTTTCCAAAAGCAGTAAAACTAGCTTCCTAGTTTTAAACTTTCCTTTAATTTAAGGGAAATCATCCTTTGAATTCAAAACAAGCTGCATGAAGGTAATTATAATTTTAAAAGAAAATCATTAGCAGGTATCAGCTAATTTCTGTTTAAAAAAAATATTATTAGATGTTTTTAATATTAATTCTGGGCCTCAGCTAGCAGTCCGCAGAATAGGGAGAGTAAGAGCTATTTCAACTCAAATTTGCTGCAAATATGATTTCACTGATCATGAGGACGTATTTGTAGGCCAGACACTGACAAATATTAAAACCACTTTTATTAATCAAACCTTATTAAACAAATCAAACACCAATTCAGCCCTCACCTGAGAAACTTGAGAAACTACATTAACCTGTCTAGAACTTAGGGAACCATGCTGTTACATTCATAAGCAATAGTTAAATACAAGTGCTTAAAAAACAGAACCAAATTATAATATGGAGAAAACTGAAAACACAAGAATAATTTGGAGAAAACTAGAAAACTCTCCATCAGCCACAAAGCACATATTATAATCTTACCCCTACCCAATCACTCATCCCCACTCTTCTTATCTATGTGGCCTTAATATAGTCTATCAGGTTGGGAGGACTCCAGTAGATTACTACACTGTAAATGTTGGCTTTTTGGGTTACACTTTGGGCTAAATCCTTGAACAGTTAAATTTTTATTGCCTTCATCCTTCTCCAGTGAACCAAGATTAAGCAAGTTAAGCAAGGTGAAGGAGAGGAAAATAGGACACTGGTCAAGCATTCAATCTCACAGGCGAAGCACCTGGGGCCTTCCAGAGCAGTGATCCCTTCTGATAAGCCACTTGCTGAAAAGCTAACACCTCCCGAGCTGAGTCTTGATGATCCTGCTTCTGCCTTCCACTTCTCCACGATGTGCATACTATCCCTGCAAAATTAACTCATGCACATTTATTAAGTTTCTCCACTCATCATTTCCCACCCTCACATTAATTGTTTGGAGAAAATACACTTCACTAACCAACCTTCATATCACAAACCATCCACTTTTCAGGAACACATTCTGAGCAGATTGATGTTGCTACATTCCTTTTTTCTTATCAGGCGCAGCATATATTGCAGTACAATCCACAGCTGAAAGAGATTTCCTGTTCAGCTGACTGAAAGCCTTTTGAGTTGAAAGAACTCCTGTTTTCCCTCTTTTCTAGATGGACAGCTGAGGTCCAGAATTACTATTAAAACCATTTAATAGTATTTTGGAGGTTTTAACTGAAATTAACTGATACCTGCAAATGGATTTATTTTTTTCATAATAATTACTATCATATAGCTTCACTACAGCTCTTTCCAAACAAGAAAGTCAAAACTCCCACCAAATGGTTCCACTTCTTCAGTACCAATAGACTCATATTTATACCAATGGACCCTAGATCAGGCCCTTTAGCATTTGCCCAGTAATTTCTCCAGGGGAACTGCTTGGAAATTAATCAGGGAAATGCTTGGGAAAAATACAAGTTAGATTGTCCCAAAATCCTGGTTGAAAACTCCAAAGGATATTATTATAGAATGCTGCAGTGCCAATTCAAGAAACCTTGTTAGATAATATTGATTTCTGCTTGCCCTATTAACAGCTTTGGCTACCTAAGACAAGCCATATATGCTTGCTTTTTTTTTTTTAAGCTGTGTGAAAAGCCTAATCTACTATAATGTATCGTACATTAACTATTTGACAACACATTCTTTTCACACATCCAGTGTCTTGCTTCATTTCCTTTCCCATGAGCGACTTAAATCAGAGCTGCCTTTTAAACTTCACCCAGCATGTCAATTCTTTGAAAAACAGAGCCTTCATAAAACCTGGTAAAGTTAAGAGGTAAGAATGAAGTACAAGCCCAAATGAAGAACTAGCAAACCTTCTATGATACTGTTACTGTTTACTGAATCTAAAAAGCATTAAAATAGATAATTCTTGTGCGTAATCCCAACACTAAAATGGGATCAATCCAGATTTTGTAACAAACCTATATAATATAAACATAAAATAATTAATTTTACATTATTTTTAATAAATCTATTAACCTAAGTAACTGAGAGTTACCGACATCTTCTTCATATAGCTCCCTCAGCACAGTTTATTAACTCAAATGAAAAGATTTAAAAGGTACCTCAAATCAGACAGGAGCACTGTTGTATCACTCCAACTCTTGTTATGTCCAGACACTGCAGTGCTCCCAATGGCACTTAGGTACATGCCATTACTTTACAGCATATGCAATTTTTTTCTAAAGGCTGCAGCACAAAATGAATAGGGCATCAGGGCATTCAGATATTACTCCCTGACTGTTGTCTGCAGTAACCAGCAAGCATTTTGAAAAGTCTGTCATTAGTCACTATCAATATGGAGCCACTAGAGCCTCTTTCAGGATCAGAGTAAATTAGTGGAGCATCTTCCATTTCCATTCTCACACTGGCAACCTCACTGAGACTCCTGAAGCCTTACAAATACAACTTTCAACGATGTTTCCCACTACTGAAGAGCTAACACAGTCAAGTTAAATAAATACTGGCTAGTAACAGGCTTTATTTACTACAAAATTCAAGAACTATGGCACAGCCAAGTTCAGCACCACCTGGACTTTCTGAGTAAGCTTTACTTAGATCTTGAATACACCAAAGGAAAAAAGCAGCTTTTAAAGCAAGTTACAATTGCCTATTTTAATTCTAAAGAGACATTAAATTGCTCTTAGAAAATTCAGCTCAGTGATTAAATAGAGTTCCATATATTCACAAGAATTTCTAACATTTTATCCAGCAAAATAACTAATAAAATAATAACATTTTCAAACTCACTAGTTGGTATGTTACAATCATTTAAAATTCCCATTCAATTTATTATAGTTGCTGATATTTAAAACAAGGGGTACTAAGTTGGTTTTGCAAGGATGCACTGGGAGATAGCGCAAAGGTACTTAAATTCAAGTTGGGAACTGCTAACATGATGTCAGGATACAGAGAATGTACCCTCCCATAAGCAAGAAAAGAAATGCTTTATTATATATTCCTGACTATGCATTATTAGCCTTCTGCAATACTCCTCATGATTCAAAAATGACACTGCCGTCGGGTAATAGGTTATACAGGTATTATATATAGATACATATTTTTTTATATATGTGTGTATATATATATCAAGCTACAGCTCCAAACTTGATGGACTCAACCCTTTTGAGAGCTGCATTTAAAAACAAGGTATTGAGCAATCATGTCATTATTTGAAAACAATACCGAGTATTTTTTACATAAAACATTAAACAACGATTTTTATGAGATAGTTACTCATGTTTAATACAAACTGAAGTGGCAAACCTGAGAATGTAATACTGATGGAAGAACTGGATTTAGGTTAACCTTTGTATTCCAGCCTTAACTGAATAACTTCAACTTGTTTTCCAGGATTTTGCTGTTCAGTGTGACAGTTTGACTCTTCAAAAACTACCCTTTGGTTGGTTGGTTTTGCTTTTTTTAAGTACTCTCCAGGTGTAAACGCACTGGAACAACAGTCCCATGTTCATTTTTACAGGACTGGTATAGCCTTCGTTTTCCCATGCTTTTCTAAGGCTGACAGGACCCACTGATCATGAAACTGCCTCCTGGCTCAATATATCATTTCGACTTCCCTGCTAACTCCTCTCCCCTGCCATATCTCATTCGCTCCACTGCTCTCACAAGAACTTGCGCAACCTACTGCCACCTACGTTCTCCTTCTGCTACGAACGCCAAAAAATCAGCCCGACCGCTCCCCTACGACATCTCTATCCAGCAGACAAAATGGCTGTTTGCCCTTTAACCCCGAGGGAGCGGCTGGCGATTCCGCCGCGGGAACACGACGCCAGCCAAGCCGCAAAACCCGGGCGCTGGAGCCTCAGGCTCTGTCCCAGGTTAGGCCCAGCTCAGCCCCAGGCTCAGCCCACGACTCGGCCTCGTACAGGGCGGTGCTTCCCCCGCAGCGCCGCCGGGCTCGGCGGGGCGGGGCGGCCGCGGGACGCAGCCCCAGGGCGGTGGAGCCGCGATCGGAGCCCGCGGAGGCCTCACGGTAACGGGCTCCCTGTGGGGCCGGGGGGTCGCGGGGTCGCTGAGAGTCGGGTGGCGGAGGCGGTGGCGGTGGCAGGTCCGTTTCCTTGGGAACTGCGTGGAGCGGGCGCTGAGGAAATGGAAGCTGTCGCTGCTTATCGCAGCAGCAGTGGGTGCGTGTGTTTATGTGTGTATTTGTGCGTGTTCGGTCGAGAAACAACATGTTTTTCACTTTCAAAGCAGCTTCATTTTCGTGGAGAAATTTTCCTGTCCTTTAAGCCTCTTTAGAACTGATTTTGATTGTCGAGGTAAATTTCACTGTATTCGGAGATTTATTTTGGAATAACACTGTTTACAGTAATGACAAGAATTTGACTGTCGTGTCAATATTTTTTTGTGATAATATGGGTGGTCTGTACAGCATTAATTCTTTTACTTAAATCCTTTTAATAACAGTGAGTATATTCTCCGGCATTTCTAGTTGACACAATGACAGACTTTGAGAAGAACCTCAGCCAGGACATGATTTCTCAGCTGCACAACTTTGCTGCCGTGGGAGATGCAACCAGACTTAAAGCACTGCTCAGGCATTCCCCGTCACTTGTCAACGCAGCTGCAGGGAATGGCTGGACAGCCCTGATGTTTGGTGCCAGGAATGGACACCTCGAGGTTGTGCGGGTTCTTCTTGAACAAGGGTAAGCTGCTTAATAGATCCCATTCAAGAGCTCTAATTTGCATCCCTTTTTGCCCATTTCAATTTTATTTCAGAAAAGTAAGTTTACTGATGGATAGTGGCAGAATTTTCATGGTTAAAACTCAGGAAAGCATACTCTATGTCAGTCTGTAACTGGATTCTTTCCATATTTGCTAAGAAACTAAAAGTTATGAGCATCTCTAAAATTATTCTTTTGATCTTCTAAGATATCACTCCTCTCAGAGTACAACAGAATAGAACAAACTTTGCATCCCATTCCAACCACTATACTGAATATAAATTTGGTGTGTTTGATTGTTTCATTTAGATTTTTTCTCTAAACTTTATTTGTAATCTACTTACATCTATATTACAGTGCAAAATTTTTGTTGACATACTGGCTCTTAAGTCAGACATGACAGACACACCTTTACAAAGTTACCAGTTGATAAATTTTAGTTGTATCTTAGCGTTTGGACAATACACATTCTCCTTCTTACTTGACATGTCCTTTTTACTTTCTTAAGTTGGTATGACACCAAGCGTTTTCATTGCTTGTCAAAAACTTGCTATTTTGTAGTCATCTGTTGTAGTTCTTGTGTTTCAAGACACCCAAATATGCAAAGAGTGCTTCAGTGTTCTTCTTGAGACTCCAAAGAAAATTCATCTCGAAATAAAGGGTTAGAGTCAGATGTGATTCAGCTGAGCTCTACATTAATCAAGCCTGTTTGATTAATGTGGTTCCTTTCTGCACTCCTAATTACACAACCAAGCAAGTTTAGTTCATTCTGTAGTTACGAGTAGCTTCAGGCATAGCATTCCACAGCCTCCAGTCATCATTCCACCCTTTTTTCTTATTTTTTCCAGTCTTACCCAAATCCTGTGGCCTCTGCTGAAGCTCAGCATGAAGCATTAGATGAACCAGTAGTTTATACTGGAATCAGTACATTCCAGTGTGTAGAGGAATATCTTGGTGACAGATTTTGTGTTTTGAGGAATATTCTGGGCTTTGGGGGAATTTACCACCTGGTAAATAGGATAACAGTTTTTTAAGTTATGCTTACTGTAAAAAAAGTGAATGTCACTTTTAAATGCTCTTCTCAGGGTTGTTCTCTTAGGCAACTGAGTATAGTTCCTGAGACGGTGCTGTGGCCTCATTGGTCTTGTTTTAGTTGACGCTTAGTCATAATAATTATTTTAACAAATAAAATTGCTGGTTAGATAAGCATGAATGTCTATGAAAGTAATATTTCATAACATTACAGAGAATAATCCTGGAAAGCCCATCATAGAATTTTATCATAGAATTGTAGAATCACAGAATGTGCTATGTTGGAAGGGACCCACAAGGATCATCAAAGTCCAACTCCTGGCTCTGCATAGGACAACCCAGGAATCACACCATGTGCCTGAGAACATTGTCCAAATGCTTCTTGAACTCTGTCAGGCTTAGCCACTTCCCTGGGGAGCCTTTTTCAGAGTCCAGCTACCCTCTGGGTGAAGATCTTTACCTGGTATCCAACCTAAACCTTTCCTGACACAACTTGAGCCCATTCCCTCGGGTCCTGTCACTGATCACCAGAGACAAGAGATCTCTGCCTGCCCTTCCCCTCGTGAGGAAGCTGCAGACAAAAGTGAGGTCTCACCTCGATCTCCTCTTTTCTAGATTGAGCAAGCTTCCCCTCTAGACCCTTCATCAACTTCATGGCCCTACTTTGAACACACTCTAATAAGCGTTAGATCCTTCTTATGTTGTGGTGCCCAAAACTGCACACAGTACTTCATGTGAGGCCACACCAGCAAAGAGTAGAGAAGCACAATCACCTCCCTTGAGCTACCTGGTGCACCTGTGTTTGTCCATGTTTGAGAAAAGCTACAGGAAATGTTTACAGACTGGAAAAAAAGATCTTGGTAGTCTAAAGAGTTCAGGTCACTGTTGTGGACACTGAAGAACAGCCTGATCACAATCTGCACATACCTGAGCAGGTATAAGGGGGAAGACAAATCAGAACAAAATTCAATTGACTGAGAGACAGGAAATTAAGTAGGAAAATAAGCATTATTTTGCCTAAAGGAAACCTTGTCTTTAAAGATGGATGAGCAGTAGTCGTTTTTTTAGCACAAAAAACTTTGTAAATTAAATTTTGAATGCTTTTCTGAACTGTACAAAAATCCCTCAAAACCTACTGAAGTTAAACTAAAATTTCAAAATGGTCTTGCGTGTGGGACAGTTACTTGTGTATCAGCAACATTATTATACTGGCATTTTCTGTTTTTAAAAAATGATGAATTTGACCCTGATCTACTGCATAATTTTGACATTTCTGTTTTATTTATGCATTTGAGTTAAGATTGGTAAAAAATTAAAGTGTGTTATTTTGACTTCCCAATCAAACCCAATCTATTTCAGGTTTGGGTTTCTTTTGGGATTTAATATTCAAATATATATCACAAGGCAGTGTTTCCTCATCTGTGTCATTTTACAGACATTTGGATAACAGAAAGATTCTTACAGGGATCAGCACCGCTGTTGTGATGGTGCTACTTTTGTCATTAAGTAGGGACTGTATTCTTGATTATAATTTTATGGTAAATCATGGAAGCATACAATATCCTGAGTTGAAAGGGACCCACAAGGATCAACTCCTGGCCCTGCATAGGACACCCCAAGAACCATACCATATGCCTGAGAGTGTTGTCCAAACACATTTTGAACTCAGACAGTCCTGGTGCTGTGACGACTTCCCTGGTGACTCTGTTCAACGTCCAACCACCCTCTGGGTTTCCTAACATCTTACTTAAACCCCCGTGACTCAACTTCATGCCATTTTCTCAGGTCCTGTTCACCAGAGAGAACAGATCAGTGCCTACCCCTCCACTTCCCCTCACGAGGAAGTTGTAGACTCCAGTGAGATCTCCCCTCAGTCTCCTCTTCTCCATCTGAACAGACAAAGTGACCTCAATAAAATATTTTATTGTAAATGTTTAATGCTAATTTGAGTAGCTCCTAGAAAGTAATCCTTGGTAAACTTTTATAAATGTTTTATTTTTCATTTTTGTTACTGGTTGTGAGGAACAGACCCATAGCCTGACTTTCAGAGTTCTATCTTGACCTTTTTTTTTTTTTCCCCATGATACAGTGTGTGGGATTTTAATTAATACATTGCTGTTGTAGTACTGCATGAAGCTCACTGAATAGTAATCTGGAGTGGATCAACAAAAATGAGAAATCTGGCCTTAGCAAAAGAAAATGAAGTACAATTACTTTTCATTACCATAATGCTAAATATTTAGCATTATGTGCTAAAATAAAGAGTGTCCCAGTATAGACAGTGTCTAGAAGTTCTTGTACCTTAATAGTATCAGATATGGTATAAGTAAGAATAACACAGCATGAGGACTCTTCCTAAACATATTTACCCTGGTAACCACAGTTCTTTTCTGGTTTTTTTAGGTGTGACAGATCCATCATTAATAAATCAAGGCAGACAGCTCTGGACATCGCAAAATTTTGGGGGTACAAACACATAGCTAATTTGTTGGCTAATGTCAAGGGTGATCAGAAGCCTAATTTTTTGTCAAATGATGTGAAAGAATATGAAAATTATTTTGGCATGACACTTCTGGACAGAAGGAGTGATAAAAGAACAGATTCCAAGTGGCTGAGTAAAAAACAAAGCCATCCAACTACAGTATACATCCTCTTCTCAAATCTAAGTCCCCTAGTTACTTTGGGTGGGGGAATAGATAGTTCCCAGCAGCCAGAAGTAAAGCTTTGCAGGCTGTACCACAAGGATGTGGAGCAGTGCCTGAACAAAACTGAAGAGCGTACCTTAATTTTTCTTGGAGTTGAACTTCTTCAGAACCTGGCAGCTGCTTGCAATGGGAGAGTTCTGCAAGAAGAGGAAGAGGACGGGTTAGTTGCTTGGTTTGCTCTTAGCATAGATTCTGCTTCTGCTGAGAAATTTAAACAGAAGCATGAGGACTGTTACTTTCTTCACCCACCAATGCCAGCACTGCTGCAGCTACCTGAAAAAGAAGCTGGTAAGATGCATGAAATGCAGCATGTACCAAATGTGTGATTTGAAGTTTTAGGTTTCAGTGAGGTACAGTGCAAGGACAAACCACTGCAAAGGAATTGGGTATATTCAGTGGCTTTAGAAATATTTTGATTTTAAAAGCCAGTTAGTGATTTTGTTAAGAGTTTTATATGTAAAAACGTGCTGTTGCGAAGGGCTAACTTCTGCAGTGGCAATATTAGTCTGTAAAGCCTATTGATCATCTTTGTTTTTAAATAGTACTATTTAAATGTTCGTGCATGCACATTAATGTTCTAAAAAGAAGGAAAAAATCTGTAATTACTGAGTTTTCATTACAAGAAATGAGATTTACATCTTTAATAAGAGTGTTTTGAATACTCATCTGAGAAGGAAGTGTTGAAAAGTGAGGATACCAAAGTGAATGAGTGTTATTATGGACATGCAGCTAACAACTGCTGTTGTAGCAGTTTTGCTACAGGACAAGCTTGATTTGCACCTCAGGTTTAAATGAAACAATGCATTATTATGTCAATATCTGTAGTAGCCCTAAAATATCCTCTGGAAAAGGTGTGATACATAATTCTGACACTTTGCCCAGACAGAGTAGCTTTTGTGACAAGCAGAGTATATTGATCCACATGAATTTGTTTCTGAATGTATAAATTGTTCATAGCTGTAGGGTACTGTGTTCAATTGCATGAGCTCTGCTGCAAAGAAGAAGATCTGCATAACTCATATTGCTCAACTTTTCTTGTAGCAGATTGTGATTCAAGCCACAGTCTTACTTTGATTTTTATGTTAAAACCTTTACTATTTGCTCCTTCCATACTGTTTAAAGCTCACATGAATTACATGAATTAGTGTTTGATTTTTCAAATTTTCAATGTATCTTTTTAAAGGAGTAGTAGCCCAGGCTAGATCTGTTCTAGCATGGCATGACCGTTACCAATTCTGCCCAACATGTGGGAGTACAACCAAGACTGAAGAAGGGGGTTACAAGAAAACTTGCTTAAAAGAAGATTGTCCCAGTCTCCAAGGAGTTCACAACACATCATATCCAAGAGTTGGTGAGAATATTTTAGAATAATTTCTCATAAGTGGCTTGTTTGTATTATTATATACCTGTAAGTCAATTTATTTCTAATTATTTCAGCTCCTTGCTTCTGTCCCAGGTCTTACATACTGGTTTCTCCCCAGAGTATGTATGTCTCAGCTTTATTTAGGATTAAGTAGTTCAGATTTCTCTTTGGTACAGTAGTCTGTGACACAGAATTGCTGGGAAAATACCAGTCGTTACTGCAAAAAGTAATATAAATTAGGAGTTCCAACAACATAAATGAGATATTAACAATACAAAGGGTCACATTTTACTTTTTTTTCCCCACCTGCATATTTTTTTCTCACCTTCTGCAAGCCCTCTGAGCTTGAAGTAGCTCAGTATCGAATTTGGCCCTGTATCAGAGTTCTGGCATAGTGCTCATTTTTCTGTAGTGCCACTTGAATGCTCTTAGCTGTCATCACTGGCTTACACTATTCAGTCACAAATTGCCAGGCCTATTTCTGCTAAGAATATAAGCTTTTATAGACAGTCTTCCTGTCTCTGTTATTCCCTTCTACATCATATCTTCTTTTGTTCATGTGTTGCAAAGAACATGTATTATATTATTGATGGGGAAACAGGATGGGAAAAGACCTTACTTTTTTTTTTTATGGATTATTTGGTGACACTTTGGTCACCTTTCGTTCTCTACCTTGTCCTCTCTTCTGCAGTTGTAGTTCTGGATATTGTGCATATGTTGTATTTTTGAATTCCATATCCTCTTACATGCCCTAGATGTATCTTTTTAGCAGTGAATTCTGTCATATTCTTCTGTCTTGTAGACTATAGTGAAGCTTGCTAAAATATTTAGTGGCTGTTTCTTCACAGTCTCTAGCACAACAAACTTGTGTGCTATATGGGATTATATGGGAAAGGCTGATGAACCTGCATCTGCTAATGAGGCCTTTCTCTCAAGGTAGTATTCAGAGAGCAACACTTCACATTCTGTATTGTGCCGTGTGGCAGATAACTTTGAGCAGGACAACGATCTTTAAAATTATTGTGCTGAAGCAAGCCTTTTCATACAGAGAAAATATTAGTGTTTTGGGCAAAAAAAAAACCTACGTGAAAAACAACAGCAAGAGAAAAAATATAGAGAGGTAGATTAAAAAAAAAAAAACAAAACCAAACAGCCAGAACACTGAAATACTTAAAAGCTAGACAACAATAAAAAAGGGGAAAATATCACAAATCAACAGGGTTCATAATACCAATGGGAGAAAATACTAAGCTAGAAAGAAAAAGATAGATACAATCACCAGAAGTGGGAAAGTAGGTAAAAGTGCAACATCATAGAAGAGGCTGATAGCAAAGAGTAAACAAACTCAAAGGTGGAAAGTTTAGTCAGTGTTTGCATTGTTGCTAGAGTATCTGGTTCTTCTTTAGTATTCGGTCAAAAGTACATTCTTCAGACCTCTGTGGGTGTAGAGGAGGTGACAATAAATGGGTTTGTGCAGAAACTATTGCTGTGTGCTCTGTGCTTAGCTAGGTTAGTATTGCTTGATACTCTTAACAGATTGTTTGTAACCAAACAGGCTTTGGTTTCAGGTAATTTCTGTTCTGCATTTCAAACATTGGTTAGTAGACTGCTTTTACTAAGCATGTATGTTGCAAAACAAAGTAAACAGATATCTTGCACGGAGAAAAATTCCAAAGTTAAATAAAATAACAGCTTGCTCTGGGCGTGTGCACAAGTATGATTTCAACCGCTTAAGGATGTCTTACGTTAGTATTGAATAGGATGAAATTTATTCCTGCTTTTAAGTCCCTCAAATGTTGAAATATATTCCTTTCATGTCCCTTGCAGATCCTGTTGTGATAATGCAAGTCATCCATCCGGATGGGAACCACTGCCTTTTAGGTAGGCAGAAGAGGTTTCCTCCAGGTATGTTCACCTGCCTTGCTGGATTTGTAGAACCTGGTAAGTAATTTCTTTTCCCGTACCAATTATTTTTTGTCACGTAACAGTATTGTATGTTTACAGTAACACAGAAATATATTTCATGTTATGTTAAATTAATGTTTTTGTTTCCTGTTAGATGAGTTGTTATAATAAATATGTTTATTCTGTAGTTTGCAGCAGCTGATTTATAAAGCAACAAGCAACATGAGTAAATAAAAACTTCAAATTCTTTTCTTATCATACAGTCTTAAATCACAGTGGAAAAAAAATAAAAACACTTATATGGCCCTTTGTTTGGTGACACTTTGCAAAGTATTTTAGCATAGAAAAAATAAGAGTTAAAGTGTAACTTAAGGTTAACATAAAGTTAAGGATATGCTTACATGTTTAGGCCCTGATTTATTATATGGAAGATAAGTAGAAATTACATAATTTTAAAAGAAAAGTAAAGAAATATTTTGCTTGAGTGTTAAGCATAATAGTTGGACTTAGTTACAATTATTACTATCTACAGAACAATTTGTAAAACATTCTTATGTTGGGAAGTGAATAACTGTATTCGGTAAATGTGTACAGGTTGACATACTGTGACAGCATGAATAAGTTGATTCAGGTATCATTGGAAAAAGATAAGATGTTTATTTCTTCACTCCTTTCCTTCCTCTGCTAGCCTGATTATTTTCTGATACTGAATTCAAGTCTATATAAAGTGAAATTTAAGAGTAGCCAATGATAAAATCAGCTACTCTAATCAGCTGAACATAACTAAACTAAGACCTCTGTCTCTGATGTGTGGACTATCTCCTTTAATGAATCTGTAATCAGTGGTTACAACACAGTACCTATGTGCATATGATGTGACCATCAACATTCCACATACACATCTAGCAGTTTTCTGTGAATATGGAAGCAAAGCTTTCCATTGAAGTTTTAAGTTTGCAGTATTGTCCATGCATTAAGACAGTGAAGAATGAATCAGGCAAAGTGAAGCATACAATGCAGAAATGTGAGCAAGTCTTCTAAGTCAGTACTTTCTTACTATTCATTACAATTAGCTGATGTTTCAACTTGCAGTACATGCTGTCACAATCATATTGAAAATCCAAAAACTTACACAACACTATTTTAAATGAACAGATCAGCATTTCAAGAGTAATTAAAGGAATAATGTACTTCCTACTCAATTTTTGACATTTTAGTTATGGTAATAATTGTGTGTAGGATAAATTATCAATTCAGGAAACAAATATTATGATGTGGAAATTAATTACAGTTTATTTTCAAAATTCCATTTTGCTTTGGCATCTGGTTTTGCCTTACTAGACTTCTGTATCTTGTGCTTGAGATCTGTGTCCTGAACTAGATCTTTATAGATAATTGCCTTGGGCAGTTTCAAATCCTTGGAGTCAGTTCAAAGCACAGGATATGATTGTTGCTTGGAGTATTTTCATCAGCTACTTGTTCTTTGCCCTTCCTGATTAGGCGAAACAATAGAAGATGCTGTTCGAAGAGAAGTGGAAGAGGAGGCTGGAGTCAAAGTTGGCCACGTTCAGTACGTCTCTTGTCAGCCATGGCCAATGCCCTCATCCCTAATGATTGGCTGCTTGGCTGTGGCAGTGTCCACAGAAATTAAAGTTGACAAGAACGAAATAGAGGATGCCCGCTGGTTCACTAGAGAACAGGTAAAGTTCAATTTAATTTCCTTCTTCTATTGATTAGTCTGTGACTGTATTGGTTCTGGCATACAACAGATACTTCTTTTTTTCCAGCAAGTTGAATGAGCATGTCTACTATCCGTTTTATCATACTATAGCATTATATTGTGGTTGTAGATGACATACAACCAGAGAAAGGCAAATACTCACAGGAATGTCTGAGTCACTAGCAAGCCCATTTTATGACATTTTTGTCGGTTAGCTGTTCACCTTTCCCTTTTGGGAGATACCCAAGTTACTCTTATTTTAACCCACTTCCTTAGCAAGCCTGTGCTTTTTGTTTTGGCAGAAGGAGCATTTAATAGCATTCATCATGAGAGTTTATCCAAGTGAGCATGCTAGCAGATTTGGTGGGTGGGGGGAGGTTAAGGTGAGAACTCTGAGAATTAATTTGAATATCTTTTTCCACGCAATACTATTTTAATACTCTGCTATTGAATGCGGTTTACTATGCATTAATACGAAGTGCTACACTTATCTTCCCTGAGTAGTTAAAATACAGTCAAATAAAAGAGAGGCAAAAAGGACCTTCACAGAAAGATTTCAGTTCATGAGTAGAAAAAGGAAAGATTGCTTACACAACATAGTCTTCACAGGTTTTCCCACAGGCAAATTTGGAGCTAAACCTCTAATAGCTATGGACTTCTGCCTAGCATTTCCAAGTGTTTTGATTGTAAGTCAACTTCAAGGCAGAGTTAGTCTTCTACAATCTCAGCGTATTTCTGTCAACACTGGGAGCATTATTTTAATTGAATATCAGTTCTGAATGCAGCTAGTCACAGGCAGGCAGAGCTGGAAATAAATGTACTTCAGAAATGAACTGTAGTAAAAGCGTAATCCCATGTTGCTTGTAACTGCTTGAGAAAACCAAGAAAACACATCTCCTTTGGTACTAAATGTAAAAATAATTAAAAAAAAGTATTTATGTTACAGTGTAGAGCACCATCTTGTGGTCCTTACCATAAAAAAACCTCACAAAAACCTTAAATAGTATAATGGCAGTCAGTCTCCTCAGTTCTGTTAGGAAGGTATCCTTTGGGGCACAAAAATGACAGAATTCACACAAAGTGTATTTTTCTCTGCATCTGTCTTGCGGAATCTGTTAGTGCCTCTTTAATAGCTATAGTAATGGTAGACTGATGAATCATCATAGGAAAGCAATTTCTGCATTAATACAGTGTTAGATTCTATATGATTTATAATATTCTCTTCTAAAGATAAAAAAATCTGGTTTTATTGCAGGTCGTGGAAGTTCTCATCAAAGGAAACCAGCGTTCATTCTTTGTACCACCGAGTCGAGCTATTGCACACCAGTTGATAAAACACTGGATTGGAATGAGTGCTAATCTTTAGTTCAAATAATATAATCAAATAATTGATTTAAGTTACTTCTCCTGTTGAATACTAAATTAGGAATAAACTAGAATTGTTAAATTAGGAATAAACTAGAATTGTTTATCTAGTAAATGTGCAACCATGTGATTTTTTGAGCCCTTCCTTAGGTTCCTGAGCTAAAGGATCATTTGTAGGTGTTTTCAGAGCTGAATTAGAAATGGGCAACAATTATCCCAAACAAGCAAGCAACAAATAGTTAGAACTGGTACCTCGTTGTTCACAGGCTGGTTTTTTGTCCTAGAATCAAATTACTATGCTTCTTGCTGTTATACTTCTAATGTTTGATTTGGTCCTTCCTCCACTGGAAAGAGTCACAGCATTACAAAGAGGGATGTCTGACTTTGCCTGCTGTTTGAATTCTGTGTTTACATCCTCCTATTTTATCTTAATTGCTTCTTTCTCATTTTTGCCTTTCTACATTCTTTAAGTTCCACCTGTCACAAAAATCAGCATTCAGTGCTGAAAGTGTCACCAAAAATGGTTATTTTTAAGCTAATAACATATGTAAATGGTGAATATGTAGTACTAGGTATCTTTTACATTAATAACCTAATTTAAGTTAATGCTCTAAGCAGAGCATTTATTCATCCTTTCTGATTTGGCCTGCACTTACCCAATTGCATGTCAGCCTGAATTTAAAGGTATAACACAATGCTCTGATTTCACAAAGGTGTTGGAGAGCCATCCCCAAAAGCCTAAATATTAGTATTTTGTAAGATAATAATGTACTTACTGCCCCTAGGCAGTGAGATATGTCATTCTCTGATGATTAAAAATGGAACTGGAGGAGGAAAAACAAGACATATCATCTCAAAATATGCACAAAATTCTTTATGAAAGTGGAGATGCTAAGATTGTTACTGCTGTTAAGAAATTTACACTTGAAATAAGTTTATTAACTGCAGGTGTAAGATTGGAAAAGCGTTACATGAATTAAAATATTTACTTATGTGTACTTAATGCTATAGTTCAGATTTGTGCCTTAATTTATCAAGGTTTTGAAAAGAATGTTAACTTAATATTTTCAAAATAAAAGTATATTATTTTTATTACCAATGGCATTATGTAATGGTTTGTAGTCTGTCATTCTGCAGTCATCACAGTGATATAAAAAGAAATGCAAATGATCCAAAGGAAATACAGTGATAAATACAAACTTACTATTATATGGTGATTTGTTTACTCAGAGTAGTTTGCATTTTTTTTAACAGCGAATGATGTCACATTTGTTTCAGAATTCCTGCCACATGAGAATCCGGAAAACTCTTCTACAAATCCTGTTTGTTCTCTTTTTCCTATCCAGTGCCACACTATGCAGTTTTGGGGATTTTTTTTGGTAAGGCAGGCATCATCATGACTAGGCTTCGCGAACGAAGATTTGAGAAGGCTCTATCCACACTTGTTACAGGCACGCTGGTGGCTTATGAGGCCAGTACGAGACAGACATATCCGATTGCAAAAGGCACAACAGAAAGACTCCCCAGATGGCGCACTCTGCAAGACACGGTTCTTTCTGCTTTACCTTTTCTCCTCAAGAGTGATCCTGCGTGTGTTCTCAAAGGAGACAGCTGTGTTACAGATGGTGTGTCTCCAGGCCTCCCGATTGGAGGCCAGAGTAGACCAGTTATGTTGATCAATATGGCCAAAGCTGAGATGTTGTTTCAGGGAGTCCTTGTATCTTTTCTTCGGGGCTCCTCTCTTGCGGGAGCCAATGGCAAGTTCACCATAGAGCAGGATCTCAGGGAGGCAGTGGTCATTCATCCTGGAGACGTGCCCTGCCCATCACAGCTCTGTTCGCAGTAACATGGCCTCAATACTTGTGACTGCTGCTTGTTCTAGAACAGATGTATTGGTCACATAATCTGACCAGTGGATGTTTAGGATTGTACGGAGACAGCGTTGATGGAAGCGTTCTAAGAGATGCAGGTGGTGACGGTAGACCACCCATGATTCGGAACTGTATAAGAGAGTAGACAGCACTATGGCTCTGTAAACACTGATCTTGGTACTTTTCTTCAAGTGTTTATTACGCCATACTCTTTTATGGAGTTTTCCAAAAGCACTATATGCCTTTGCTAACCTGTTGTCTCTCTCTCCGTCAATCTTACCATCCGAGGAGATGAGGCTACCTAGGTAATTAAACTGCTGGACTGATTTGAGCTCTGATTGGCCAATGGTGCTGTGGGGATGATGGTGGACTTCCTGAGGTGCAGGTTGATGGAGGACCACTGTCTTCTTTAAGCTGACTTCCAGCCCAAAGAGCTCAGCAGCCTCTGCAAAGCAGGATGTTAAAACGCTGCAGAGCTGCTTCTGTGTGGGCAACAAGGGCGGTATCATCAGCATAAAGCAGCTCCCAGGCAAGATGGTTTAAGGTCTTAGTGTGGGCCTTCAGTCGCCTTAGATTGAATAGGCTTCCATCAGTACGATATCGAATGTAGATACCATCCTGATCGTGGAGGTCTGCTGTGGCCCTTTGGAGCATCATGCTAAAGAAGACCATGAATAGGGTAGGAGCAAGAACGCAGCCTTGTTTCACACCATTCTTAATTAAAAAGGGCTCAGAAAGTGTGTTGCCCTATCTGATTTGGCCATGCTGATCCTCATGGAGTGAGATGATTATTTTAAGGAACTTGGGGGGGACAACCTAATCGTTCCAAAATCTACCACAGACCTTTTCTGCTCACAGTATCAAAAGCCTTGGTGAGGTCAACAAAGGTTACATAAAGACCTTTGTTCTGTTCCCTACACTTCTCTTGCAGTTGTCTGAGAACTGTAAGGCAGTACATATCAAACTTAAAAGCAAGAAGCATTTCTTACAGACTTGGAACATTTGACATATTACACTGCTTCATTCGCTCCCTTCTTTCAGCTCTGTGTACAAATGGAGACAACCAGGTTATCTCTTGAGTGGTCTGAAAAGGAAAAGGAAGCAATGCACTGCTTCCCTTAAAAATTGGTTTTACAGAGAAGGGGAATTGTGAAAAGCTGTCATGAGCTACAGTTACCAGCAGGACTGCATGTTTTCAGTGGCATTAAACTTTTTAGAAAAATTGTGGGACAGAAGGAAGCCTGGTTGCAGGTTGCTCATACAAATAAAGGAGAACATTGGAAAATGGCAGAAGCTAAGCAATGAGAGGAAATTCTGACTGGTACTATGGTGATTGCACATTAGCAAAGATGAACAAGAAAGGAATAAGAAGCAGATGGAAAAGGGAGGATAAAGCAGAGAGCAAATATAGGTAATATAAAAATAAACAGTTTATCACTTAGAGGCAACTAAATGTACATGTCCAAGACCCATCTGCATATTAGTTTTTCATGCAGGAAATTATGGTGAGTTGCTATTAGGATGAGCTTGTAACTGTGAAACTCCAAACAAAGTATCCATAATCAATACTTATATTAATAAACGGAGAGTTTAGTGGTCCTAACTGAAATCTGGTAAGGGCAACACCTCCATAAGATCTCAGTAGCTTGCCTTATCCAAAGGACAGCAGCAGCCTTGCAAGAAGGCTGTTTCTTGCCCCTAAGTTAATGCAGTGAATGTAAATAGTAACAATAAAGTAGAGAAAGATAAATTAGGTGTTTAAACACAAAAAAAAGTTGTTACTTCTAGTGAAGCTGTAATCTCATGCAATGTAATGACATTGTATGTAACTGCTGATTTTTTTACAAACTTTGCATTGGTCCCTATAAACATACTTTTTTTATACTGGATTTGTGTAAACATGTGAAGAATAAAATCATTCTAGTGTTGATAGTGTAGCGTGAACATTATGTTTTGTATAGTGATATTGTCAAGTTTGTAAATGATTATCTTGCATTCTACATGTGAAGGAAAAAGGGGTGAATGTCAACAGGCTGATTAAAGGTAGACTAGTCATGACGCTTCCATGGAATTAAATATACTAATCAGATTCTGAGCTTAGGAGACAAAAATAGAAAAAGAAGTGGATCAAGACATTGCTTCCTCTTTTATTTTTAATTTTCATTGACAAAGCTGACATTTTGTAATGCCTGGGTAAGTTTGGTTGTTATTTTCATTATCTGCTTTAGCTGTAAAGAGTTGAATAACGAGTAGTCCTTTGTTGCCCAAGTGATTTGAGGGATATGTGTATATAGCATAGCATTGCTGGCTGTGGTTGACAATACAGAAGTGGGTAAGTCCAAGGCAAAAAAAAATTTGAACTTGTTATCCTATTAAGCCTTAGCAAGACAGACAGCCCATCCTTCATGAGCTTAGAAAAGCAAACTATTCACAGAGCATCCATAGTAGCAAACGTCTGAGGAACATGAATATTGGCTCATAGTAATGGTAAGTATAAACATCTTTTTTTTTAAAATTAGACCCTACTAGGTTGTATTCTGTAGATATTAATTGTTATAACTAATCATAACCATTATAAAATATGAACATTCTTCAGATTTTTTCACAGTGAGAAAATAAGAATGTTTTCTTAAGTGATAGATTTTTAAGATGGATATTTACTTCCTGAGACTTTATCTTGTCATTTTAGCATGTAGAAACTTCTTATTTTCAGAGCATTTGATGAAGAAAAAGTTATTTTATGCAGTATAAAAAAGATATAATGCACAATAAACTATGTTCTTTATTTGCAAATATTTTTTTACTTATGTGATAATAAATACATGAACATTGATTGCAATGAATGATACTAGTGGAAAAATCTGATCAGTAAGTTGAAATATTCATTATATAGTACTTGTGTTAAAATCATCACAGAATCCTATATGGACAACACAGAGGCTCCCTACTAGTTTGCTGCAGTGTAAAGCAGGGCATATTTTTAAATGAAGGAAAGAATGAGAAATGTTGATGCAAAAATATCTCCAAAATCTGAAATAAATGCGTGTCCTTATTAGTACATTATTTTGTCTTTTTTGTTGCAAAAGCTTAAAATAATTAACTAAATGCAAGATTACTTAGTAAGTAGGCAGAAGCTTTATAAGAAATTAGTTTTACATACCATTTTGCAGAATTTAGGAGCCAAAACCTATGACTTGACTTCTCCCTAAAAAGACAGAAGTAATTGTGTATATACAGCCTATGATGGCTGAACTATTTGTTACTACAACTTTACTGGGACTTACATTCTCAGTATGCATTTAAAATAATCTTGAAGACATTTGACTGACTGCTACTGAGCGCACCCTGCCTCAGGGAGACAGCTTTAACATAATGGCAAGAATAGTATACCTAGTATTTCTTTTCAAAAGATTGGTCGAAATCTATTTAACACTTTGTCTGGTGTCCCTTGCTGCTTATAGACAAGTCAAAAATAATGCAAAATCTGATTACATGGGATTTGGATTTCCTAAATATGCTAGTTTATGGCTTGTATGATGTGTTCTTCGTTGCTTAGACAGTAACATTCCTTGACAATCAGAAGTGCAGAAATATCAACTGGTGTTTGATATCTTCATGATCTGAAAAAGGAAGATCCTGATTCAGTGTGCTCATTAAAGGTCCTGCAGCACATTTCATGAAACAGTACAGTACCTGTTGCAGATTGATCTCACTGACCCACGCTCTTCTAAGTGTTCCATTTGGATACTCCATCCTCAGGGTGAAATGGATGCTGCCAAATATCTACTGAGTTCCGTTTAAATGGAAGCTGATTCTTAACAGTCATATAATTCACATTTTTATTAATTTTGTAAAATGTTTTAGGGTACTGTTACACACCCTATAAGTGGCTGCCTGCTTCCTTTTTTAAAGACCTGTATTTTCAGACATTTTTGATAACACATCTTGTATGTGTTTGGCATAAAATACATTTTTTGGCAATAGTACTACAAAAATGAGTGTTCAGAAGTTATTTAAATAACATACTAGTGGAAACAATAAAAAGGCAAACCAGAAGGTACTTCAGTAGGAGATACTTCAGTGAGGCAAGTAAGGAATAGAAGAATACTGAGAAATACAGACATGCAATGGAAGTAAATTAGTAAATTCAGTATTGTTAGGATTATCTGGGCAATGGGGACAAAAAGTAGGATTCTGTATCCAGAGGAAGGAAACAGAAGGGTT